ATTAGATTTTATGAATTATTCAATTGATTGATAATTTAAAAAATGATAAAGAAAAATACAATGTACATTTACATGGTTTAAGAATAAGCAATATTATATATTGAAAGATAAACCATAATTTACTGACTTTTTCAAGTTAAGCTTTGACTTATAATCGTCGGTCAATATGACAATTGAATTCTTAAAATTTATTTTACAATTTTAATAAAAAAGAGTAGTAAAAACTCAGTATTAAAATAGCACATAAAACACAAAAAGGAATAAAAGAAAACAATATTCATAAAATTTTTATTTTTTTTTAATTAAAATTAATAGATATTACAATAATATTATTATTGTATAATAAACAATTATGCTCAACATGATCAACATGGTAATATAACCAGTGTCATATTTTTACTAACTTCAAGTGTGAACAGATACCTTAAGGGGGTCTTCGCTAATAGCGAGAACATAATAAGGGACAAATGTGTGGTACGTGTTGATCATGCGTTACACATATGGATTATAAATGATTGCATACATGTATATCCGTTGCTATTAATTCATTTAGATTTTCTAAGAAAAATTACAAATACAAGGAAAAGTATCCCCGCTTATATGTTATATGGGGAATTGGGGCGTTATCCGTTGCAAATAAATATCAATACGAAAATAATTCGGTTTTGGAATATTTTAAAAACAAATGATTCGAATAAATATTCAATAATTCAATAATATTATTATTGTATAATAAACAATTATGCTCAACATGATCAACATGGTAATATAACCAGTGTCATATTTTTACTAACTTCAAGTGTGAACAGATACCTTTAAGGGGTCTTCGCTAATAGCGAGAACATAATAAGGGACAAATGTGTGGTACGTGTTGATCATGCGTTACACATATGGATTATAAATGATTGCATACATGTATATCCGTTGCTATTAATTCATTTAGATTTTCTAAGAAAAATTACAAATACAAAGGAAAAGTATCCCCGCTTATATGTTTATATGGGGAATTGGGGCGTTATCCGTTGCAAAATAAATATCAATACGAAAATAATTCGGTTTTGGAATATTTTAAAAACAAATGATTCGAATAAATATTCAAATATTATTTACAAAATAATGATTCAAAGTAGTAATTCCTACAGATGGCTAAAATTCAGTAAAAGATATTTTAAACAATACAGGTTTCCCCTATCTATTCTTGAATCAAGAAGATATCACTATAAAAAATGTCCATTTACTAATAAAGCAAGTGCTAGTAGATCAATTTATAACAGATTGGAATGGAAAATTACAAGCCTCAAACAAAGGAAAACAAGCAATTATCATAGTATTGCAAGCAATCCATAAGTCCCCTTCCGGTAAGAGCCCAAGCAACATTCTGAGGGGCCATTGGCCATTCACTTAGGTTCCTATTTTAAGTAAATTTGTTGAAAAAGTTCTTTAAAAGTGATCACAGGAAACAGTTTTTTATGTACAGACAGACATACTGAAGGACACTCTAAAGTTATTTTTTAAACATCCCTGTTATCAAAATATAACATTTTTAAAATCCTATCATGATTGAAGAAGTTGGAGTAAAATTTACCAATTTCTCAAAAAAAAGCCTAAGTTCAAAAGGGGCATAATTCTGGAAATAGTCTTGCTAGAGTATTGAACACACACAAATGTTGAGTGACAATAAGAAACATTTATATGAAGTTTGAAGTAGTAACATTAAGAAAAAGAAGTTATTTAAAAAAAACAATGTTTTTTTCATGAAAATTTTAAGTTCAAGGGAGATAATTCTGATAAATTTTGTGCTAGAGTTGTAAACCTTGTCACATATGATGTGGTTCATGACAAGCAACATATATTTAAAGTTTGAAGAAAATACCTTAAGAAATAAAGAACATATAGTGAAAAAACTTAAAAACTAGAATCAGAAATCTTGAAATTCAGTCTATTTGTTGCCATAGCAACCAGAATTTTCAACATAGGAAGATAAAAAAGGATGTGCATAATTTCCATACTGCCATCTACCCATATGTCAAGTTTCATAAACATATTTTCAGTACTTTTTGTGTTATCACTGGATCCAGGGTATGTGTAAAATTTGCCATATTTTCAGTCTATTTGTTGCCATAGCAACCAGAATTTTCAACATAGGAAGAAAAGAAAAAGACGTGCATAATCTCCATACTGCCATCTATCCATATATCAAGTTTCATAAAAATATTTTCAGTACTTTTTGCGTTATCGCGGGATCCAGGTTATGTGTAAAATTTGCCATATTTTCAGTCTATTTGTTGCCATAGCAACCAGAATTTTCAACATAGGAAGAAAAGAAAAAGACGTGCATAATCTCCATACTGCCATCTATCCATATATCAAGTTTTCATTAAAATATTTTCAGTACTTTTTGCGTTATCGCGGGATCCAGTTTTGTGGACGGACGGACTGACGGACGGAACCAGACAGACGGAACAGAACAACGGACAGACGGACTGAGGGTAAAACCTAAAGTCCCCCTTCCGGTAAAACCGGTAGGGGACTTAATTATATTATTTTTTATAAACAAAGAACATAAAAGAAGAAGACTTTTTAAACAATATTCCCCGAAAAACTTGTAACATACCGCCTTCTTAAATTTTCGTAAGCTAATCCACCGACTTTTCCGATAGAAATTTCTAAGATATAAATAACTCCAACAACGAGCATAATCTGCGAAAGAGTGCAGAAAATGACTTGTAAATTAAATTCAATATAAACTTATTTGTGTGCATGCAAAAATGCCCCTTTTTTACACTGTTTCCCTGTAACAAGCTTTTTAATCAAAAACTTTCATAACATTAGACACGTTTATTCTTAAAACTGGTTTTTCGAAATATTTTTTGCATGTCTCGTTCTATATAAATTGTTAAATACACCCACATATGTTATAATACTGATATTATTTGTAAATTGTCTGTTGTTACATTATATGTAATCTTGACAAAATAAAGAAATATTGTATTGTATTGTATTGTATTGTATTGTATTGTAATAACCACGATCATATAGAAATAACAAGTAATATTCTAATCTCTAGCATGCCAATCAAAGTTCATAATGAACAATGTCTTTCGTCCGCTCATTCATAAGTGATATACATTTCTGGTAGTTTATAAGAATATCTTTGTCATCATGTGTACTAGTTCATCTTCACTTGCTGCATTTCTTGCTTGGACGCCCTTTGATGCTTTGCATCAATGCTTTTCTTGTATTAAAATGACATAAAGTATTTATGATGAACAGTCCTAGAATATTTTGATAAGGAACCGTCAGTTGTAAAATGGTATTATATGATCTTATAATGAACAGTCGTCATACCTGCTGGTATATGTCATTTATAAATGTTTTTTAGGTTTTTCTTTAACAATCCGAATGTAGACCTCAATGAAATGTTCTGGAATATTAACAAAATGAATAGTCAACCATATTAACCATACAGGGAAGGGCCCACGATAATGTTGTTAGAACTTTTGGCCCAACCCTTTTGTATACATGTACACTTGATTATGTCTGTAAAATTATTTAATTGTATATTGTGTGTATATTTATACAATAAAATATTATTAAACGTAAACGATAAATGGCGCAATGTGCATATCTTCTTATTTAACAGCACAATTTAAGCAAAAAGAAAAGAAACTATAAGTCTGAAACATTCTGTCATAGCCTCCCCATCAGTAGTCTAGGTTTAGAAATACTAATTAACTCCACTTTCGTATCTCAATATCTAATGCTATTTTTCACTATATGAAAATGTGTTATTTCTATCTACATTATACAAAAGAACTATTTTTTTCCTCTTTGGGCCTATGATATAGCTTTTCGCTAATTAAATATTGTAAGATTGTGTGGGAACTGTGGCCTCCGATACCTTTGTATAGGACTCACCGTGAAGTCGGGGTACTCCTGTCCCCCGACCGCCATTGGGAAGTCGAGGGACAGGAGTGCACCTGGCACGGCCTGGGGCGCGTTTTCATCGCAGGAAGACCTTATTGGAGCTTCCATGCCCGGGTCGTGCTCTGATTGAATTCAGGTCCACGATAGAGTAGACGAGAGACCCCAGTTCCCGCCGATCAGAAAGGTTTTTCTAGATCATATTCAAATTTCACTCTGCATAACTAAAAACTTGAATATTATCTAACACTTTAACTAAAGGGAAGTAAATGCAACAACATCTACGTGCAAAGCCTTTTTTTTGTTATCACCCCCATCTACCATTCGCATCTCTATACCTTTTGTTATTGTTAAAAATTAGACTTCTCCATTTATACCTAAAAATGATTCGCATGTTTACTTAAATTTTTGTAGTATATTCATTTACGTTAAAAATATTGATTGTCGTTACGACTATTTGAGCAGAAATCGTCAATTTAATACTACACATTGTTGAAATAGAAAGTATACATGTGGTGTGTGTGTGTGTGTGTGTGTGTGTGCGTGCGTGTGTGCGTGTGACGAGAAAAATGAAACAATACCTTTGAATGTAATACTAGCTTTCTTTATTATTTAATATGTTTTAGTAATATATATATACACAACAGTTTTGGCTCTCCACGTACTTGAAAACTGGAAGCACAATTCAATTATATTTTTCGCTAGTATGTTAATTAACTGCTATTTGAGCCTCATTATACTTTATTCATGTTTATTACTCCATTATGTCATGTTTGTACATGGAATGAGAGAATTAAATGTTTTTTGACTTGACTTGACTTGAGTACATTCAGTGCTTTGATTATAATTTTCCGTCATACTTATTTACGCCGCTAGGTCTGTTAATAATTTGTTTATCTCTCAATTACAACCAATCACCATTAATCCGCTAATTAAGAACGCGTGAGTTCAATACATGCCGCAAGGCAAGAGTTCACTATGCTTATCTTTCTCATTACGTATTCATGCGATTGACGAATCAGAACGCGTGTTGTAACTACGGCAGTTTGCATTGACCAATCGGCGACAGGCTAATACACTGTGGCTGTTTGTTGACAACTACACAAAATGGCGACAGATTCAATCAATTTTCGCCGATAAAATGATTCAAGACACCTGCATATACATAATTGCTGCGGTGTTTTGGCGAGTAAAGATAAACAATGTCAAACGTCTTTAAGGTGTTTATGTTTGAAACCTCGACTGTTAATTTTTTTCGGAACACTAATCTGTAGAAATTATGTGGAGATTTGCAAAGTAAACAGGCTGATGGAAAATTGAAATTAAACATTTTTTACAAACAGATTTATCAATTACATTTTAATGAATATGTAACTTTTAAATACTAATGTTATGGTGTAGTTTATGATCTTAACCAATTATACATGCAATTTTAAAACTCTCTTGTTTTTTATAAGTGATATTTGATAGAGTCACCGTACCAGTGCTCAACCAGTTTTTCACAAAATTACATAAAAACTCTTTCAGAATAAAAAGTTTGCTGGGAAAATTATTTTTGTTACAAAGCTGGCCCTTTCAAACTCACAATAAGCTTAAGCGTTTTAATTACACAGATCAGGATACAATTTACCACAGAGTTGTATATAGGGTATAAAACTACTATATTTTTCAGGCAACCAAACCAGTGCTCGACCAGGTGGTTTTATCTCTATCAGAACTTTTATTTTTTTAAAACAGACATGACTTTTTATGTTCAACAATTCTATTTCAAAAATATTTTGAAACATTTATGTTTTAGGGTCTATAAATGTTAATATGAGAGCAAATATGATACGAAGGAAATGCTATACATTGACAAATAGTGTTTATAAGAGTTTTGGTATTACATATACTGGGGTGTTTGAGATTACTTATTCTCATATTTTTCTTTACTAAAATCACTCTGCAAACATAGTTAAGTCTGATAATTGGTGTAATATACAAATGGTTTACGCTTTCAGTGGTGTTCCTGATTTGTTTCCGTACAGCTGCCATATTTGTTTACATGTCTATAGCCCCTGCCTTTTATGGAAAGCAAGGTCTTGATAATTTTTGAGCACATTTCCTATGGGAAATCATTTGGAATCATAAGAGTAAAGGCAATTTAACAAAGTATTGTCCACATTTGCCCTAAATTATCATTAGTTTAGTGTTTTAAATAGTTTTTACTGCTACTTTTATTATAGAATTGCATTTTGTACTGTTAAATATTGTCTGCAAAATGGCAAAACTTTTACCAAACTTGGAGTACTTGTACATGGTGTAGAGTTACAAGTCAGGTACAAATAGCACACACAAACTCCCAGGGTTTTTCCACTTTAATGCATAAATCGTAAACAAATAGAAGTATTGGTCGAGCATTGGGCTGGTCGAGCACAGGTACTGTGACTCTATGTATAATATCAATAAAAATATAATAAAACCCTTAGTATGGTACTTTTCTGCTTTTCAACAAAATATTGGTATGATATGTTCATATATCCGAATTATGTAGAGACTGTCCACAGTGACTCCATGTCTATAATGACCTTTTTTCTTTTCTCCAATCGAAGGTCACTGTAAACAGTATTTACTGTAGGTCATCATAGTCTGTCAGTCAGCCGTCAAATAGGTCATCATAGCCTGTCAGTCAGCCGTCAAATAGGTCATCATAGCCTGTCAGTCAGCCGTCAAAAAGGTCATCATAGTCTGTCAGTCAGCCGTCAAATAGGTAGGTCATCATAGTCTGTCAGCCGTCAAATAGGTCATCATAGCCTGTCAGTCAGCCGTCAAATAGGTCATCATAGCCTGTCAGTTAGCCGTCAAATAGGTCTTCATAGTCTGTCAGTCAGCCGTCAAATAGGTCATCATATAAGAATCTTACACCGGCTGCCGGTACAGACCGGAATATCTAGCTCGAGGGTAACTGTTTACGTCGGTAACGAGGCTCTGCCGAGTTTTCGCTAAACAGTTACCCGAGAGCTAGATATTCCCGTTTGAACCGACAGCTGGTGTTTGATTCTTTTTCTTGCATATACACTTAACAAATCTTATAAGTGTGCACCTTTTATGTCCTTATAACTTTTTTCTTCATCAATATTTCTTTACAAAATTTTGGGTTCTGACTATTGGCTGCATTTCCACACTTTTCCCGTGCTCAAACTTGTCAAATTTAATTATGCGGCGCGTTCAACCGTGAACGTACAAAATTCACACAATGCACGAAAAAATTGTGTGAATGCGTGAAAGAAAATTGCACATGATATTCTCGAATACAACAGAGATCCACATATCAGAAAAACATAACATATGGGTACTTTATCTATTCAACAGCGTGGCATAGCCCTAGGATTGATCTACGCTGGAGTACACCAATCAGATTTGTAAAAAATAATTTGTTTATATAATTATTTAAACTCCATTGCATTGTAAAAGCTGAAAATCATTTAAATTCAGTTCCTTCCAAAGACGAACGTAATTGTATATTTGTTTTTTACTTATTACATGTTTATATCATTTGGAGGTTGCGCAACGCATGGTGGTCTCCGCAATGTAATACCAATGCTTAAGAAGGCTTATCTTCATAACAGAGTAACTGGCAGCGTTTATAACATTCCTCGCCGACCCCAAAATTATCTCCAACGGTATGTTACATTGATGCGACGACGCTCCAAGTCTGTAATGCACAGTCAGAGTGGCACACACGGTTTAAAAACATCATTTTGCAACATCGACTTTCGACACGCACTCACATTTTTTAGAAATGTATCTTAAAATTTATCTTGAATGAAAAAAGAAAACAAATAGAAATAATAGCCTGTCTCTTTTCTGTATTTATTGAAAATTTCAGCATGATCGGGCAAATATTGATACACCTATGAGACCATTTATGCATGCACACTTATAAGATTTGTTAAGTGTACATGTAACTTGTTAATTACTTTCGGAACAGAAATTATGAAAACTGATATTCACATTACGCACTTTTTTCTTATAGTAGCGTATGAACTTACAACTTCATTCATAACTGTAAAATGACGTCATCCAAAGAACGCAATTCATTCATAAAAGGTGCGCGTCAATGACGTCATATAAAGCACGCGACTTGTCTTAGATGGGGGTGTAAGATAGAGTTTTCTAGCACCGGTGTAAACGGTAAATAATCCTGTCTCACTCTGATATGCAAGAAAAGCCTGTCTGTCAGCCGTCCAAAAGGTCATCATAGCCTGTCAGTCAGCTGTCAAATAGGTCATCATAGTCTGTCAGTCAGCGCCGTCAAATAGGTCATCATAGACCGTCAGTCAGCCGTCAAATAGGTCATCATAGGTTGTCAGTCAGCCGTCAAATAGGTCATCATAGTCTGTCAGACAGCCGTCAAATAGGTCATCATAGGTTGTCAGTCAGCCGTCAAATAGGTCATCATAGTCTGTCAGTCACCTGTCAAATAGGTCATCAAAGTCTGTCAGACAGCCGTCAGATAGGTCATTATTGTCTGTCAGACAGCCGTCAAATAGGTCATCAAAGTCTGTCAGCTAGCCGTCAAATAGGTCATCATAGTCTGTCAGTCAGCCGTCAAATAGGTCATCATAGGTTGTCAGTCAGCCGTCATAAAGCTCATTATTGTCTGTCAGTCAGCTGTCAAATAGGTCATCAAAGTCGGTCAGACAGCCGTCAGATAGGTCATCATAGACTGTCAGTCAGCCGTAACATAGGTCATCATAGTCTGTCAGCCGTTAAATAGGTCATTATTGTCTGTCAGTCAGCTGTCAAATAGGTCATCATAGTCTGTCAGCCGTTAAATAGGTCATTATTGTCCGTCAGTCAGCCGTCAAATAGGTCATCATAGTCTGTCAGTCAGCCGTAACATAGGTCATCATAGTCTGTCAGACAGCCGTCAAATAGGTCATCATAGTCTATCAGTCAGCCGTTAAATAGGTCATTATTGTCTGTCAGTCAGCTGTCAAATAGGTCATCATAGTCTGTCAATCATAGTCTGTCAAACAGCCGTCAAATACGTCATCATAGTCTGTCAGACAGCCGTCAAAAAGGTCATCGTATATGTCAGACAGCCGTCAAATATCATAGCTTGTCAGCTAGCCGTCAAATAGGTCACCATAGTCTGTCAGACAGCCGTAAAAAAGGTCATCGTATATGTCAGACAGCCGTCAAATATCAAAGTCTGTCAGCTAGCCGTCAAATAGGTCATCATAATCTGTCAGACAGCCGTCAGATAGGTCATCATAGTCTGTCAGACAGCCGTCAAATACGACATCATTGTCTGTCAGACAGCCGTCAGATAGGTTATCATAATCTGTCAGACAGCCGTCAGATAGGTCATCATAGTCTGTCAGACAGCCGTCAAATAGGTCATCATAGTCTGTCAGACAGTCATAAGATAGGCCATCATAGTCTGTCAGACAGCCGTCAAATAGGTCATCATAGTCTGTCAGACAGCCATCAGATAGGTCATCATAATCTGTCAGACAGCCGTCAAATAGGTCATCATAGTATGTCAGTCAGCCGTCAAATAGGTCATCATAGTCTGTCAGACTGCCTTCAAATAGGTCATAATAGTCTGTCAGACAGCCATCAGATAGGTCATCATAGTCTGTCAGACAGCCGTCAAATAGGTCATCATAGGTTGTCTGTCAGCCGTAAAATAGGTCATCATAGTCTGTCAGTCAGACGTCAAATAGGTCATCATAGTCTGTCAGTCAGCCATCAAATAGGTCATCATAGTCTGTCAGTCAGCTGAACATAGGTCATCATAGTCTGTCAGTCAGCCATCAAATAGGTCATCATAGTCTATCAGTCAGCCATCAAAAAGGTCATCATAGTCTGTCAGTCAGCCGTAACATAGGTCATCATAGTCTGTCAGTCAGCCGTCAAATAGGTCATCATAGTCTATCAGTCAGCCATCAAATAGGTCATCATAGTCTATCAGTCAGCCATCAAATAGGTCATCATAGTCTGTCAGCCGTAACATAGGTCATCATAGTCTGTCAGCCGTAACATAGGTCATCATAGTCTGTCAGCCGTAACATAGGTCATCATAGTCTGTCAGTCAGACGTCAAATAGGTCATCATAGTCTGTCAGTCAGCCGTCAAATAGGTCATCATAGTCTATCAGTCAGCCATCAAATAGGTCATCATAGTCTATCAGTCAGCCATCAAATAGGTCATCATAGTCTGTCAGTCAGCCGTAACATAGGTCATCATAGTCTGTCAGTCAGCCGTCAAATAGGTCATCATAGTCTCAGTCAGCCGTCAAATAGGTCATCATAGTCTGTCAGACAGCCGTAAAAAAGGTCATCGTATATGTCAGACAGCCGTCAAATATCAAAGTCTGTCAGACAGCCGTCAAATAGGTCAGCATAGTCTGTCAGTCAGCCGTCAAATAGGTCATCATAGTCTGTCAGTAAGCCGTAACATAGGTCATCATAGTCTGTCAGCCGTTAAATAGGTCACCATAGTCTGTCAGCCGTTAATTAGGTCATTATTGTCTGTCAGTCAGCAGTAACATAGGTCATCATAGTCTGTAGATTATGGAGCACAAATCTATTCTAGTGCATGCCCCAGCTTCCTTAACAAATTAGACCGTATCCAAAATGCTGCCCTCAGGTTGGCCCTGGGGGCCCTCGGATCCACCCCAGCCCGAGACCTGGAGCTTGAGGCCGCCGGTATTCCACCATTACATCTAAGAAGACAGGAACAGACCCTAAAATACTATGCACGGATTAAAAGTAATAAGACTAATAATCCCGTGCATAGTGTTTTAGGGGATGGTTATTTTCATAAATCCAAGTTTAAGGACCCTGCCCCTCCCTTTGGGGTCAGTACTGACCTCCTGGCGGAGGGGTGCGGCCTTAAAGGTATTGACATTTCTGAACGGCGGCCTGCTGCGGTTCCGCCCTGGACCCTTTCGCCACCCATAGTTGATACACACCTAACATCTATAGTGAACAAAACTGATCTTCCGTACCTCGCAAGATCAGAAGTACAAATATACTATGAAAAATATTCAGGTCAAACACATATATACACAGATGGAACAAAGACCCGGACTCTGGCAAAGTAGCCTCAGCCGTAGTAATCCCTACCCAACAATATGAAAAAATCTATACGGCTGAGCTACTTGCAATTAGGAACACTTTGTGCTGGATAAATGACAACAATCACAATAAAGTTGTCATTTTCTCTGATTCTTTATCTTCACTGGTCTCACTGAAATCAAATAATAGTCAGTCAAGACCAGAACTTTTACAGGAAATTAATATAATATATAATAAATGCCTAAATGTAGGCAAATTGGTAACCATTGTTTGGTGTCCAGCACATATAGGTATCTATGGTAACGAACAGGCGGACAGGGCGGCCAAGGCAGGCCTAAACTTCAGCAGTGTAACAGAACCTATACCACTCTCCCCCACTGAAGTATATTCCATAATACGCCAACATATTTTATCTAAGCTATATATATTTAATGGCAAAAAGAAATAAATGATAATCTTCCCAAAATCAAACATGTAAATACTACAGTCAGCCTTAAACGACCCACAAAATATTCAAACAATTCCAAAATTGATAAAATCATTAGCCGGCTAAGACTGGGCTCAAACTTATTACCTGGTAGTGTGGGTCAATACATTAAGAAAATTGACCCGACCTGCCCACAATGTGGAGTGAGATATGGTTCTGACCACCTACTGATCGAATGTCCCCAATTTGCAGCCCAGCGGCAAGAATTGGTGGGTCGCATTGGATCAGTGGGGCTTGGATTTACTATAAAAAACATTTTAAATCCCCCAAAACAACATCATAATCATGTATATGGGGCTCTAGAGATATTTATCCTAGAGTGTAAATTAACCGATAAAATTTGAGAAACCAACTTGAATTGTGCCCGTGTCCCCCTCAGGTAACACAATTATATAACCAAAATATATATAACCATAATCAAATAACATAGATATATTACCAAATTATATATAACCATAATTATATAGTAATATAAATTTACAATAACAGGTTAATAGGGACCCAGTTTGCATACTCTAGTCCCTTGACACCTATTTAGTAACAGATTTAAATATACCCAACATAAAATGTAATAGAGTAGATAACCCAACCCAAATCTTTCTTAAGTAATAGTTACATCCACATAACTTACAGAAAAAATCCCTAAATAAATTGAATAATAAAGGAAAATATAACAGCAATCTACATATAATAGGTTATTAGTACAAAATTAACACCAAAGTACTAAAATAAAGAAAATTTTACATGAATCTTAACCTTCTATGATCTGAAATCTAATTTACTAATCAAAATTAAACCACAATATTAATTAAGAGACATATCTGATTGAATAAAATAAGAAAACCCCAAAAGAATTTATTAAAAACTAAAAAAGATATAGTAATTTTCCTATGATGGGTAACTTTTCCAAAATCACACCAAAAAATTCCAATAAGAATAAATTTTACTTAAATCTCAACCTCTTAGATCATGAAATATAATTTGCTCTACAAAACTAAAAATCTATATTAATTAAGAGACATATCTAATTGACTAATTCAGGAAAACCCCAAAAGATTTCACAAAGAAATAAAAATGTTTAAGCAAATCTCCTATGATGTCCAAATATCTTAAATAAAACAATAATCCACCAAAAATGTGATAATTTTACACAAATATAACTCCCCAAGAATTAAAACAGATTAAGATAAATAGCATAAATCCTATTTTTTAAATAACAGATACATATAATGGACTAAAAGAAGAAAACCCCAATAAAATCCATTGAAAAATAAAAAATTTATAGCCATTTTCCTATGATATATAATTTCTTAATGATTTACAATAATTCCTATATATTGGCTAATAACAGTCCAAGGGAGAGAACTTTAACGTCAACTGATACTAAATTTTTATTTTATTGACATTCCAATAGACAAAATTAACCTAAATACATTAAAAAATATACCAAATTTAAATAATAAATTGCTTCTAAGGGCGTTTTGGAATAAAACCATCAAAAATTAGTTAAAACATGCTTTTTGGAAAATCATACAGCCAAATATATACAAAATAACTAAATAACAGGAGTTATCTACTCCCCCCCATGGAAATAAACAAACGGTTTATAACATTTAAATAGAAACCAACATAAATCACAGTCAGCCCACATTAAATTGGTCAGAAAACGTTCCTGACATGCCTTCTTCGCATGTAAGTATGCGAACTCTATAAATTTATATGACAATATATTAAAATTCTTCGTTTAATTAAATTGACCTGTTATAAAAGACGGTAACTTCTATAAACGTCTTGGCCAATTTTAAAATAAGCATTTTAACTATTAAATTTTAGAATTCTTAAACTTAGTATGGGATTGCCCCATCTTCCTCCCATGGCAGAGGTTGTACGTAGAGACTACCCTGTCATGGGGGATATAGTATGCACATAACACATGTACGGATATAACAATAAGTAAATAAACATCAGCTCCCCCTTTTAATAGGTTATAAATGTAGTATAGTCTGATTTTATTGACCTGTCAATTATGAACGCATTATTGAACTCATTTAAATATTCGACCCCACTTCGGTTCTGTCCGTGTATTTTACGGAAATTAATGTGGAGTATATTAGTCATGGATTGAAAGTCACGCCAGCTTAATGTGAAGGTTTTCGTTAATTCACAATAGTACAGTCGGTTAAGAGAATGCCTGATAATTCAGAGGTCTGTGGTTCGATCCTTGCTGTTGCCATTGTTTTAGTACTCTTTCTTTATTTTTGCCGTATATTTTAATGGAACAGTTTGTAGTGTGTTTTACAGCATTGAAAAGACATTTATTGATTTAAATCCGTGTTAATTTTAAACATGAATTCTTAAAACATGTTATTTAAAAAAAATATAGATGTAACAAAATTAAGTAAAACATAATAAAACAAAACGAACAACATAAAATAATCATATAGAGCTCCAATATTGTTGAAAGTATTAATAAGAAAATAAAAGCATAGACCTACGCGGTCTCGAACTTAAAACACGTGTGGCACTTAGAGTATAAACTCGTGCTTTACCCTATTGCGCTATAACGCTGAGTACACTTTGTTGAGAGATACAAATTAAATTAAATTCCATCGTACAGCGTACATCTCACGGAACTTACCGAAAATCTACCGAAGATTAATATACTGTGTGCATCGACCGTGTAATCAGTATGTAATTGACAGGTTAATAAAACCAAACAATATATGCTCGCCCATATGGTCTCTTTCCGAGGGCGAGGGTTAACAAACCCAAACACACACACACATTATGTTCTTAGGCTTTTAAACCTCAGTGGAGTCGCTTTAAGGTTTTATTTGTTACAATTTGTGTTGTTTTTTTTTCTACAGACAAAGAAAGAATTCAAACACTATATTATTTATATTTGTCAATCCTTAATTCTCTCATATTCTGTTTCCTAATAGTTTCTTGTATAATATGTTCTGGAAGTTTGTTGTTGCATCATACACATACCATCTAATAATTTAATTTATTGATAAAATTTATGTTTTTAATTTCTGTTTTCATTCCAGGAACAAAACGATGGTTTCTCATTGTCGAGAGCAAAGATTGTGCCTAGTTTTCACAATGCAGAATAAATGCACAGGCATACTATACTTCCAGCAGAAGTATCAGTAGAAAAAACATCATACTGTTACTCGTTACTACATGATCTGTCTTTAAAAACTTTTGTTACCATATTTATCACAATGGAAGTAAGTATTTGACTTGAAAATGGAATTGAATTTGATACTTCACACTGATATTTGTACTCATTTGAAGACCCATTGCACAATGACATCACAAGCACCTGCTACCAGAATTTAGCAGATGTACCGGTTGGCAAGAAGAACCAATATTTATAAACATTATATAGCAGCAGAATTTTTAAATTCTTATAACTTTTTTATTTGTGGATCGATTTTTTAGATTCTTATATCATTTGAAAGTTCTTTGTATTCATATTTTTAAAATATAAGCGGATTTTCATTTTTTGCTTTTAAAAAATAAAGCTCAGCTATTTTTCAACTGTTATTTCAATAGTTTTCTAGCACCAAGTTTAACTCCTTACCAAGAAAAAATGAAAACGCTTTGTTAACTTATTTTTTAATATATAAAATATGAGTAAAATGACCTTTCTAATGATATAAAATACTAAGCTGTTTCATGAAAAATAAGTTTTTTATTATAAATATAAAATTACTATATTTTGCATTTTATCAGCCACCATTTTTTTGCCAACCATCCGAAAGTTACCTGTATCTCTTATCAGCAATTTGTTACTATTAATAGATTTCATAACAATAACATGCAAAGATTTTGTGAAAGGGCGACAGCAACTTCTCGAGCCTTATAGTCGGTCATAATAAAAGCCGATCATTCCGGTCGGTATGAGGGTGCTTGATTAAAAAAAAATATCTCGATATGTACAATGAATAGCGAACTGGAGAATTTCGCAATGCATGAGTCTCTTCGGTTTTTTTTTATTTATCATTTTGTAGTACACATAGAGGATATTCAAGTTTTTTCTATAAATACATGATTTATTTTCATCAAGTGGTATGAAAATAAATATTTCATGAGTGGCGGTAGCCACGAGTGAAATATGGTAATTTTCATGCCACAATAGAAAAAACTTGAATTTTCTGTTTATTATATACATTTTTCTCTTTTTTGCGATAAAATTTGAAGGACTTCCCCTTAAATTTTGTGTACTGGCAGAAATTAAAAGAAAGTAGTCCGGCAAGACACCAGTGAAAATACGGAAAATATGTTTCACTGCAGTGAAAAATAAATTTTTACAGTGAAAATACGGAAAATGAAAATACGCATTTTATTTCATCAATATTTCTCAATATTTCATTTATAAGTATATAATAAAGTGGGTTATTATGGTATGTTAAAATAGAATGATGAGTTGATGACCTAAACATTCCGAAAATCTATTTATAGAGGGATGTACTGCTATCGGTAATTCCCGGTCTCTCCCGGTCTATTTTGACCGGGATTTACTAGTGACCGGCGAATAGTATCACGGTCTCTCCCGGTTTTGGAGTAGATGTTTGATATCGTTACAGAACAGAACAGATATTTTACAGATAAATAAGCTTTTTTTCCAAAATGAATGTTTGTCACTTAGTTTGGTTACAATAATTAATAAACATAGATCAACTCTCAAATTTATTGATTATTATTATACATAAACATACAATTCGAAAAAAACCACCAACAACAACAATAGCATGTTTCATTTTATCTATATAAGATAAAAACAATAAATATGTACAACAATTGAGAAAAAGGTACATTTTTATGGTATAAATATGACACTATCAACTTTGAAACATTTTATTTATTTTGTTATTCGTGTTTAGTAAAGATGTCCAGGAATTATTCAAAGTTACAAATTAGATTAAATTATGAATTATTCAATTGATTGATAATTTAAAAAAATGATAAAGAAAAATACAAATGTACATGTACATGGTTTAAGAATAAGCAATATTATATATTGAAAGATTAAGCATAATTTACCTATTTCCAGTTAAGTTTTGACTTATAATCGTCGGTCAATATGACAATTATTGTATAATAAACAATTATGCTCAACATGATCAACATGGTCATATAACCAGTGTCATATTTTTACTAAGTGTGAACAGATACCTTAAGAGGAGGTCTTCGCTAATAGCGATAACATAATAAGAGACAATTCCACAAGTGTGGTGTTGACCATGCGTTACACATATGGAATATAAATGATTGTAAACATGTATATCCGTTGCTATTAATAATCACGATCATAAAGAAATAACAAGTAATATTCTAATCTCTAGCATGCCAATCAAAGTTCATAATGAACAATTAATGTCTTTCGTCCGTTCATTCTGGTAAAAACCAATTAACCATTGAAAAGTTTATAAGAATATCTTGTCATCATATATCTACTAGTTCATCTTCACTTTCTGCATGTCTTGCTTGGACGCCCTTTGATGCTTTGCATCAATGCTTTTCTTGTTGTGTATTGGAATGCAGCATAGTGTTTTTCTTTCATATATCGCAAGTTTCTTATCATTTTGTGCTGAATACGATTTACTGGTGGATTCTCTATGTTTTATTATACTCTCCTTAGCTACTTTTGCTACATTATCTTCAGATATTTCTGAAAAAGTATCTAAAATAACTGAGAAAGTATTCATAACACCAGACTCTACTATGTTTTCTTGAAGGAATGCCGAGTAAGTATGATCACTGCCTGATAAAGGAATGTCAGATTGTGTCAAATCAAGTATTGTAGATGCATAATGTGTTATCAGAAATTAATTTATGTCCCACATTCTCTTCTATAATGCGAATTTCATTTAGAATACCTTCAAAAAAATAATCATCTGAATCTGATATAATAGTTTTGTCATCTACTGTACATATGTCTCAACAGATAAACATATTTTATTACGGCAAGAAGATAGGTCATTAATTAGATCACCAGAACTTACAAATGTCTTGTAGAATGATTGTACTTCTAGATATTGTCTACATAGAGAAGGCCAGCAATATGTTGTGTCCGTTTAAAACAGGACCTACTACACAATACTTTTGTTTTGCGTCCATTTTTATTTGTTTGGGTCGTCAGACCAAACAAATAATGGTAGCGAAATTTCAGAGTCTGATGCTGTTAATTGCAAATGCCGAAAGTAGGCCGCTTTTTTGAAGCGGTTACTTCCCTTTATATGTACACTAACGACGAAAAAATTCAGGGGAGATCACTGCGTAAAGATGGTCAAATGACAGGCGCATTAATTTTCAAGCAAAATAATTCCCGAATGGTCGAAGATTTCTAATATGGTTTTATCCTTTATAGATATACATGCTTATCTTATAATAAGCTCCATGGTTATTAATTTCTGTGTTAAACAACAGTTAGCGTCGAAATAATAAGGGTTACAAACCCTAATTTAGAATAATATGGTTTTCTTCAGGCCTTTTACATATCACTTCATCGTGGCCGAGGGGTCTGGAGTTCAAATCCAGGAAGGAAACTCTTTTTTTTCAAATTGTTTAAATCAAATAAACATTGAATTGAATATCAGTGTTGCAATTAGTCTTAAAGCCAATTAACTACAATTAAAACGCTAGAAAGCACTGGTGGCACTATACAAAAACAAATTGGTTTATAATCTCACAACCTTCACTTTTCTGACATTCTGAGACCCAAACAAATTCAGCGCCTTCTGTGCTTTGATTTTTGGTGCGGATAAATATGAAAGCTGATCTACCTTGTATTATTCTAGTAAAATTGGTAACAACAAATTCTTCTCATCCAAAAATGTAATAGTAAATTAGAACTCCTTTTAATGTACAGTGTAACATAGCGATATGCACATTCTTATTAATTTTTTAGTTCATATTTCCATTGAAGCATTAATGGAATGACGTAAAAATACGTAAGATTATGTTTAATGTAGGTCATTTGTGCTAGAATTCTGAAACAAGCAAATGTAGACCATATGTAAATCATATCGCTATAAGATACTTATAGTTGTTAATATTATGTTAAATTTTATATAATATAGCAGCACTTGATAATACTAAATTATATGCTATGACATGTTATAATATAATCTTAAAATTAAAATAGTGATATTATGAAGTTGAAATTGCGAAAACGTAAATCCGCGAAGTTAGAATGGTTCATCTTTGAGGTTTAAATGACCAAACTGGCCTTTATATCTGGAGTAACTACTTGTCAAACGTGCAATTTATTTTGTTTTAAAGCCTGAAAGTTGATAAGATTAATATATACTCAGCAAAAATAGATACCAACAGATGACAGTGTATATTTTATTAGTATTGTCAGGAAATCGATGACGGAAATGTAAAAACGAATGTTGGGCATGAAAAAGAGATGCATGCACAACATTGACAGTTCAGTCAGTATTGAGTCAGTAACACTGTCTATTCTGACGCAAGCCAAATAACCTGCGCTGCTCATATTGAAGGTAATAGCGACAAAATTTGTTATAGGAATTGGTCTCAGTCCGAGAGGGACACCAGTTCTACATGGCGCTAGTTAACTGCTATTTAATTTGCCTTAAATAGTTTTTTACCTTTCAAAGCGGGGTTAACTGTGATGTAGTGCACTGGTAATCATAATTGTGTTCATATTGTGAAATAAGATTTACACAAGATAGATTTAGATATATTTGATTTGTGCATTAAACATCAGATTGCTTAACATATGACATGGGTTCCCATAGAATCTACCGATTTGGTTGATTATTATCGTAAATTATGTGATGTTGATGACTTGGGCGTTTCAGGAGAGTTTTTTTTTATTTCATTCGTGAAAATGATGGCTTGACCACCGTTTTGAGCGGGTTTTTTTGATGTGGGGACCTCATACAGTAGATCGTTTTGCGAACCATTATAATCGAAAAATTATTCGTTTTAACAGTTTAGGGTGGGTTCCGGGCACTGAGAAAGTTGATGCGTTTTCTGTTAACAATTTCGTGGAAATAATCTTGATGAGGGATAAAAAGTAATGTCTTCGCAGCCGTTTGCGGCGATTCATTTTTTTCAGTTTGGTTAAATGAAAAATATATTGGCCAGTTTACTTACCTCGTTGGAAATCCTGTCAGGTATCCGCAATTTATTGCACAATTCTGCGTAACTTATTGCACGAATCGTGCGTTATTTTCATATACATGGTGAACTAAGAGTATCAGATTTCTATATAAAGTATCGATAGGTGTTTTCAAATCACTCGAGGTAATTGCATTGCTTTATTCGCATGTCTATTTTCCCATCCCATTCCTCCCACAATAACTATTTGATCGAGTACACTGGTATCATATTAGGTTATTGTTGTAAAGAAGCTCATTTCGATAGAAATACATTTTCAGTTATATTTAACAGGTGATGCTTTCATTCAAGTATGGAGTAAGAAGAGGCAAAGTTCAAATAATGATTTATATTTGTAATCAATATATTGAAGCAAATTAATGCTAATACACATCGAACTCGCCAAGTATTGATCAAAATCAATTATTTATCGACAATGTAAGTAGCAGATTTATAACAAATTAAAGGTACCGACGGGAACTTACCATCTCACATCTAGTTATATCAAGAACAAGCATGAAAGTTCTTTTAAACACAGCACATAATACGCTGTCCTTAAAAAAAGATGCGAATAAACATATACCATTTTAAAGGCCCATTATGCTTTTTTTTTCCTCAAAAAAAATTTTTTTTGGTAACTTATTACAGTTACAAAAAAATAATAATTTGCAATATAATTGAACCATTTTTGCTTCTTATACTTTGTTGGCAATTGGTATAATTATAGTGAATAATTATTTTGTATAGAAGTCAAAATACTACTTTGTTTACTTTTTGGTACCTTTACGACACATTAAGCGCTACTTTCCTCAGCTGTTAAAAAATCTAACATGCTCTAAATCTATTATTAAAACATTATTAAACACACGTTTGATATTTCTAAAAAGAATAATAAAATATGCATTTCTGAGGCAGAATGTGCCTTTAAAATATGTGAGTTTGATGGTTCAGAAAGGAAAACATGAAGTTGCAATTACATAATAGTACATTAAGTAATCATAATGCATGGTAGTATTTGGCAAAACGTAGGTTCCCATTGTCAAAAAGAAGTATGGAAGCAAGCAAAATGTAAATCCCAATATCATCAAGCAAGATGGAATAAATGCACTTATTCTGTTCCATAATAGAACCATTGTCTCATATATTGAATAATAGTTTCGCAATGCCTGTTATCTGATTCCGCAGACATTCCGCTCTCTGCAAAGTCACGTGACACCACTATTGAATTTTGCATCGATCTACAGTGGCAAGGACCAATAGCTTTTTGCGGAAATGATACATTGTCTGCGACAGAGCTGGTATTATACGTAGTCGCAAAATATTCAGAATCGATTTTCAGCATTACACTGTCGTAAAGCACGGAGTTTGACAACAAATTTGTTCTAGGTTTAGGTAAGTTTGTACATATATTTCTTTTGAACAATAGCATTTTATGAATTAGCTATAATTTGATTAATAGGATTGATCATTTTTAGCGATATTTATTTTGGCTTATATCTGTTTTGATCAATTGGTGGCGTATTGTGCAAACTAATTATTGCATTATTTCTTTACTCTGTTTATTAGATATTATCTGAGTAAAATCAAGTAACTGTCTTAACTTATTCATAATTAATCAGGGAAATATATTTTTACAACAAACAAGATATACATGTATTTTTACAAGGTTAAGGAGAAATTTAATGATTACATTAAGTAGTTTATTCGAGTTTAAAGGGTAGTTTTTATATGTCCGAAAGAATTTTGACGTATATTGTAATGCATCCGTCCGTCCGTCTGTAACAGGTATCCGTGTCCGATCTGTATCTTTTGAACTGGTGGAAGGAAATCGAAACTACTTGGCAGAAATGTTAACCATAATGAGACAATGTGCAGAGCGCAGATTTGACCTTTCTCAGGTCAAGGTCACACTTAGCCATTTTGTATCAATATCAAAATTGTGTGTCCTCTTTGTTGACATCTAAAATTTTTATATAAATCATGCTCAATGGGTCAATATTGGACCTGCCCCAGGGATCACATTGATAGAAAAAAACTTATATTCATGTATGTATTTTTACGTAAAGTTACAAATCCCAGATCGTAGTTGCATGTACATTGTATATTTGGTATGTATGATTACATAGAAGAACCCTGCAATTGTTCCAAAAATCAGTTCACCGATATTTAAGAAATGGCTGTACCCAGTGGGTTGGTGGGGAGCACAGTTTACATGTATACAGATTTATATAGTATATATGTTTTAAAAGTCTTTTCCTCCAACCTATGATATGCAGAACATAGATTTTTAGCATGTATAATCATTTTGTAAATGTAGAATTATCATTTTTTGTGAACATAATGAACATAAGATTATAATATTATTTATATGGGTTTTTTTGGTTGTGTGTGTGTTGTGTTTGTGTTGCGTTTTGTTGTTGTTGTTTTATCATTTAAAAACCAACAAGAAACAAACATTATTGTTGTTTTCAGTCAATATGTATACACCGTGGCAAAAGCTGTGGCATATATAATTATCACTAAGTATTCATCTGACAGGAGCATAGCATTTTGGCGTGCATCAATATAGATCTTATTATTGACAATTGAAATAAAACATGTTGCTGACAAATGTTACAAATGGATATTCTCACTTTTTAAATATTATTTTTTATTACTTTAAATTTTATTTTCTTAAAACAAATTTGCATTCGGGCGTATATTGCCAATTCTATGCGGTGCTCTTGTTCATTACACACGAACTTTTATAATTATATGTCTTGGGGAATAATGTCGTCAGTTTGACACAGTAATTATGATTAGCCATTAAGAAATAATGTTGCGTCAAGATGACATCGTGTTTAGTCAATTTGATATAAGGTTGAGCTAATTTGACATATTATTGGTTAAACTGACATGATTTTAAACCAATATAAAACCATGTTTTGTAAAAATGTTGAGTCAATTTGATGTTGAATCACTTTTACCTTATTTTTGGTCAAATTGGCATTATGTTAAGACCAAAATGAAATAATTGTTGGTCAAGCTTGCAAATTATATACATGAAATAACTGTTTTATTAATCCCCTTCGCAAAGCGAAGAGGGCATTATAGAAATGGCCTCCGTCTGTCAGTCTGTCCGTCAGTCTGTCAGAGCAAACATTTTGGGTTTATGTGGCTATGGTAACAATAGGTAATACCCCGGTCACATATTCACGGAATACGCCCACGGAAGAGCCACGGATTAATTCCGGCATCGTCCGTAGCTACCCGTACTGGTCAGTAGCTCTCCGTATTGTAACCGTAATCAATCGTAGTAGTCCTGGTATATCCGTAGCGATCCTTGACAATTTTTGAACATGCACAAAAATTTGCTACGGAAAAATCAGCCGTAGCGTATCCCTGCTAGTCCGTATTAAAACGTACCGATACTAACTGGTCCGTACGAAAACCGTACTAGTCCGTACTGATTCGTAGCCCACCAACTTGTCAAGGATTTCCACGGTTTGGAACGGAGAACTACGTTTAAGTACGGTTACCCTACGTATAAGCTACGGTTTTAATACGGATTAATACGGAAAGCCACGATCGTAATACGTTGTACTACGGAGAGGCAGGGATTAGCACGGTCTTATACGGTTTATTGCGTTGCAACACGAAAAGGTACGGACTTGTACGGCCCACCACTGTTTAGTACGGATGAATTAAGTATCCTCTACTTTCCAAGGGTACTACCTTCTTGTTAAAAACAGACATATTTGCGGGAACATTCAATAAATGATAATTGCCATTTACTGGCTGCAATTTTACAATGAAATTGCTCAGAATGCGCAGGCAGTGGTCGAGCTGCTAGATGACATGCATAGAGGTAAAATATATTAATATCGTACTACAATGCGTCCTTCAAGAAATTCACTTTTATCGGACCTGATGTGTCTCGGGGGTCAGACGCGATCAGGCCGAATCCTCTCCGCCGAAATCATTAAACTCTGCAATTCGTTTTCCAGGTGTTCTTTTCTTGTGAGGCATTTTGAAAATGAGCATGCAAGAGATTGTGAACGGATGTATTAGGTCCGTATAGATCCGTGGCAATTCGTTCTTCTCCGTATCAGTTCGTTCTTCTCCGTATCAGACCGTACTTATTCGTACTAACCCGTGCTCATACCGTAGCAGACCGTAGTGTATCCGTAGTGCGTCCGTCCTAATTCGTGTCGCTCCGCATCAAACCGTGTCGGTCCGTAACAATCCGTGTCTCTCCGGGGGATTTTGGTGGTAAATCCGTCGGACTGTTTACTTATACCGTTGTGTGTCCGTACTAGAACCGTAGCGGACTACGGAATTTCACATTTCCGTAGTAATCCGTGAACGATTAGACCGTAGCTCTTCCGTGGCATTATCCGTGAATATGTGACCGGGGCTTAACAGTAAATTTTCTTTGATCTATTCATTCCGTAAAGTTTTGTGTGGCTTTTTTGGTTTTATGTGGCTTTTTATACCCCTAAAAACGAAGTTTGGGGGTATATAGGAGTCACCCGGTGGTCGGTCGGTTGATCGGTTGGTCGGTCGGTCCAGACGTCCGTTGCATTTTCCTTGTCCGGAGCATAACTTGAAGACTAATGGTTGGAATTCAATATAACTACATACAATGGTCAAGCACATTGAGAGGAGGTGCAGTGCACAAGAACCATAACTCTATCTTGACTAATTACAGAGTTATTGCCCTTTGTTACTTTTCCTTGTCCGTGGCATAACTTAAAAGAATTCAAAACAACTTCATACAATTGTCAAACACAGTAAGGGGAAGTGCAGTGCACAAGAACCATAACTCTATCTAAAGTAATTACATAGTTATTGCCCTTTGTTACTTTTCCATTGCCTTCTTTTGTCCGGACCATTACTTGAAGACTAATTGTTGGAATTCATTATAACTTCATACAATGGTCAAGCACATTGAGAGAAAGTGCAGTGCACAAGAACCATAACTCCATCTTGATTTATTACAGAGTTACTGCCCTTTGTTACTTTTCCTTGTCTAGAGCATGACTTGAAAACTACTGGTTGGAATTCAAAACAACCTCATACAATGGTCAAGCACAATAAGGGGAAGTGCAATGCACAAGAACCATAAGTCCATCTTGACTAATTACAGAGTTATTGCCCTTTGTTACTTTTCCATTGCTTTTTTTGTCTGGAGCATAACTTGAAGACTAATGGTTGGAATTCAATATAACTTCATACAATGGTCAAGCACATTGAGAGGAAGTGCAGTGCACAAGAACCATAACTACATCTTGACTAATTACAGAGTTATCACTGTTGTACAGCGTCCACCGGATATAGCCCCTAAAAACACAGAAAACGAAAGTAGAAAGCTGCACAACGAGTACACCCAAGGTAATGTTTTAACTTATTTCTTCATCATAACTTCATCGATTTTTCCAAACTAAATAATTTTGTGAAGCTTAATGTTTCTAGTTTTAGAGCAGTGTTTGCTTTTGTCTGCAAATTGAATGCTTTTTGATATATTGGTGATAAATTGTAGCGTATTTGTTGACATTTGCGAACGATGTTGATATTTACCACTAAATCAAGCCCAAAACGCATTTGCTGTATCAAATTCCGCCGTTAATACAAATTGTACTCATTCCTCTACTTATATTTGAGTTTTCACCCTTCAACTCGAGCTGCTTTTAACAAAATTTGCGAAATACGGCATTGCCTTGTGTACAGAGTCTAGCACGGATGTGTACGGGGTGTTGATGGAAAAGTGTTAGCGAGTGTACGGGGTGTAGTAGGTAAACGAATGTCATTTTGTGCAAAATAAATTCAGTACCGGAGCATATACACGTACGCTGATGAAGAAAACGATCAATGTCGGGAGCAAGGATTGTGAAGTGAATTATTTTAATTTTATAAAGGATAAAAATGTTTAATTAAATTATAAACATGTTACGCAACATGTATATTAATTGCAGTACACAGTTTCCGTCCAACTAGACCACGTTTTATGCTTGGCTTTTAGTTAATAGGAAAAATGTAAAACTCAAAAGCTCACAATTTCACTCCATATGGGCAGAACATTACAGCAAATTCTATAATTTGTCTTAAACAATATCAAACCATGGTCGAGTTATGCATTGTGAAATAAACTTGATCTAAACTTGTTATATTGGTTTATTAGTTTACTGGTCTTAAGACTTTATTGAAAAACAAAAATATATTAATGAGCTTTGGTAAAATCATTAACTACAAAGTGACAACAGAGTTATGTACAGAACAAGGTCGAACAAAAGCTATTGATGACAAAAATAAGAAAATGTAAATTCAAGGGCGAGCGGTGGCCTAGTGGTTAAGGTGTCTGCCTCTCAACCCAGAGATCATGGGTTTGAGCCCTACTCGGTCACGACCATGTT